GTTGGGAAAATCGCGTTTTATAGGGCGCAGCAGCTTCAAACATATAAAAAGGATTTCTGAGACAACTAATATTCGAAAGTACTTCTACTAAGGTGTCTTCTGTAAAAATTTGAAAAAAATTAAAGAGGGTGTTTTTGAGATATGAATTTTTCAAAAAAGCCCTTTGTTTCGCATTTTGTGTCTTTACATGACGTCATATGGCAATTTTGACACCGGGATCGTGTTCAGCGGGAAATTTTACATTGGGAAACATATAGTGGATATTTGTTTAAGCATATTTAGCTCTTTGTACTAAAAAAATCGGCGAAACACGAAAAAAAAAATGATAAAAAGCGTGAACTTCAATAGCGTGCCACGGCCGCCATTTTGAATATTAAGGTCTGTAAATTTGACAATCATGTTTTTTTGTCTAGTGCAACATGTGTGTAAAATTTTAGCCAAATCGGAGAGGGTGACCCCACCGACTTGTGTCGATTATTGCTGGAATTACCATTTAGAGTTTCCTTTCCTTCAAGTGCTTTTAAAAACATAATCGGTAATATATTATTTCGGTTTTGACTGGGGCACGTATCAGAATAAAGGACTACTTTTTCTACCTGTTCTGGCAAGTCTCTGAAATAAGCAAGGTGCGATCTCATCAGCTCCTCGTTGAGCTACACCTTCATGCCACATATAACACGATGTCCGTTTTGTGGTGATATTGCGGATCGTCAAATTAAAAGTCCATAACTTTCTTTTATAGAAAGCCACACTAGATGTCAAATTAGGTATAGCCAAATACTGCAAATCAAATGCAACTACTACAAGCTTTTCTAAGCTCCGCATAATTTCTTCTTTGTCGCCTTGTTTTGTTGTATAATGAAAGGATGTTTTCTAGTATTGTTGGCTTTCATTTTCTAATCTTTGTTTTTCTTCTTCGGAGGCACAGCTTTTTATCTTCAGAAATTATAAATCACAGGTTTTGCAAGTGTCATTAGATGGCTTCTTAAACTTAGATAGAAGTAGAAGATGCTTTCTTTTTTTAACAACGTCATCTAAGAAACCTCTGGTTTCGCCAAATACTTTAAAAAGCAACATTTACAGATATTACCATCCATATTCTCCAACTTATAAAGAACTTATAAAGAATTTATATAAGATACTTTCTTTAGGTTTTACTGTTATTAAACTAGCCAAATAACGTTTCTGTGTATCCATAGTTGACAAGTTTCTGTAGTCTCTAAAAATTTGCTTTAGATCAACAGAGGCAGTCTTTTCATGACATTTTGCTTAAAAGTTTGTGGACACAGGTATTGAAACTTGAGCTGAAATGCTATTACCTTTAGCAATGATGTACTCCTCACTTTTTTTTTATCAGAACGACCTTTTCTTAATTTCCGTTGCATTGGACCCTGGCCCTTACTTCCTTTTTTTTATACTTATTTACGCCAAAGGAAAGTGATCATCTAACTCGTTTTGAGGGTCTTCGGAATCAGCTTTTCCATGTTCACGTTTAGAATCTGATGGTTCCCACAAATTGCTAGATCCAGAACTCAAATTATCACCAGAAGTTACTTCAGAAGCTAATCCATTCAGCAGATGAGTATTTTCTTTAAGATTTACTGGTGAAGATAGTGCTTGTTTTAAAACGTGCAAATTGCTTTCTTTACTTCCAGAGGGGCCTGGATATGAAGCTGATTCAACATCAGTCAGTTCTACAATATCAAACTTAATACTTACATTATTAGAAGACGACTGTTCATTTTCTAATAAACACATCTCAATTATTTTTGTAATACGAAAACCTGTATTATAAGCCATGTTTACCAAATTACTCGATCGCATTTACTGCGTCGTTCGCCTTCGAAAGATTTAGACAAACTGACTTTAATACTGACTTACTGACTAATTAGTGTAACTAACTAGTCATCGCTAGACTTTAACACTAACACAATGCAATCAACACGTTCGTGAATACGACCAAATGCTCATGAATAATTATGATAAGTACAAAACAACGAAAAGAAAGGTTTGATATATTCATGTTATTTACGACTTACATAAAAAAACTTACAGAAAATACCACTTAAATATAATATTTATTTGAATCAAAGATGTTAAGTGGGACATAGCATAAAATTACCGAAATAATTTGAATATTATTTAATATAATTATGATAAGTACCAATTATCACATATGGACCAAAATGTTTTACCAAAAGAATGTGCATATTATTTGATCTAGACATAATAAGTACCAATTATCAGATATGAACCAAATATGTTTAGTTTTATTTTTGGGTACATGATATAATATTTTAACAGGACTATATCAAACAAAATTTGAATAATAGGGACTTATCAATATTATACCAAGCCGGGACTCATTTTCTAGATATGATAGACATACTATAGTCAGATCAAACGAAAATAGATCAAAAACAAAATTCAGTGCAGGACTTAACAAAATTTTCCCTATTTTGGAGTTATCATGTTTCTCCCAAACACCACAAAAATAAAGGAATTCAAATTTGTGGAATGCAATTAAAATATAAAGATAACATACCTTTGAAAATTTTCGTACAAATAAACGAATTCCTTAGAAATAAAGAAATAAATGTTTCTCTAAATTATATAGCTGTTACAGATAAAATTAACACGAGAAAATTGTACAAGTATAATTTAATTAATTGTCTTATCTATACGATTTGCATCTGTACTTTACTAAAATGATTAACTATAATTAGCTCCTTAGCGAAAAATTCTTCTGGACTCTGGTATCCTCATTTGGATACACCTACCGGTGTGAACAGTTTTTAGTTGAATAAAACATATTAAATCTCGACTAAGAACATGGATCACTGATGAGCATTTGGAAAACTGCTTGCAAGTAGCAACATCAACATTGGTGCACTTAGTTCTGAGAAATAAAATCAGATGTTTCACTAAAATTTATTATGTTTGGTTTATGTTATTATTTTTTGTATGTAGCTCTAATAAATATGTTTGATTCTCATTTTTGTTGTATCTTCTTTAAAAAAACATTTCTTTAATTTCTTGTGTGCTTTTAATAAAAAACAAAATTGTTGTGCGGCTCTAAAATTTGGCCCGCCTGCTGAAAATGTTGACCATGCATGACCTATATCCTTGTCCAACTGTTCCGACCGGGTTTTTATCAACCCAGTTGTTTTTCCAGGTAGAGTACACAGGTAACGATACACGGATGTATTTTCGTCCACTGCCGCTCTTACGGCCAGTTTCACAATCAGTGGTTAATCCTAGGAGTTAAGTAACCTTTACCCCTAGTTTAACTGACAGATGCCGTTTCACATTCACAGATTCGGTTATGGTAACTTAACCTTAGGTTTCGTTTTATTTTTCTTATGTTGGTAGGAAATTATGGGCAATAATCAGATTTTTATGGAATATTGTCAATTATATTATTTATCTATGATCTAATTATATTATTTATCTATGTCTATGATTATAGACATTGACCAGTATAGATGAGTTATGACACATTTGTCACTTTAGATATAAAACAATATACAAATATTATTCTGATTTTCAAGTTCTGTTCTAATGTTGTAGTTTGATCCTACGTAGTGGTTGTTTTTTCTTCCAAGTTAAAATTAAAATTATAAAATGGAACCCAGAAAAATATTCAAGAGATCGGCAAACCTTTCGCCAGAAGAGGAACAACTACTTATTTCCTTTTGCATAAAATTTAAAAATAAGAAATTGTATCTTCAATTTGCTCCAAAATATTTTCAACGATGTTCTTTGAGAATCTAAACCGACGGAAAAATTTTTCATGGTCTAGTTCTTCAAAATTATTTGTTCTGTGCCTAATGATTCTTGGTCTGCCAGATTCCTCATAGCTGCTAAAAGCTTCTACATCATATAAATCTATATCTGATTAATTAATAATTTACATGTCTGTCTTCTTCTTAAGGTGAACGTTGGCGATCATTCTGATTATGATGACTTTGTTGGTTGCTATACGAAACAGCTGTGTTGTTGAGGTCTTTCTATACCATGTTCTCGTGTCTGCCTTGATTTCTCATTATATGGCTTAAGTACTGCAGCTTATGGCCCTTCACGATGTTAACCAAATCCGCAGTTGTGCTCATCCTCCGCAGTACTTCTTCATTGGTGACTTTGTCTGTCCATGGTATCTTAAAGATCCTTCTGTATGACCATAGCTCAAAAGCCTCAAGTTTCCGCCAGTGTCTGTCTACACTCTGTGAATGTCAACAAAACTAAATTCGAAATTATAATAGGTTAGGATATCATGGTCAAGCTCTAAACAACCGCTTTTACTTTGGGTTAAAAATTTTGTAGGTTAACCACAACCCAAGCTGTTGTGAAACCTATATTTCAGGGTAACCGCTGGTTATCTCTTAACCGCAAGGTAACTTTACTTTGTGAAACCGGCCATTATAGTACATTCTGTTCGTCAACATTTTCAAATAAAAACCGCAATTACTCAATGTTAGAATCGTTGTGAAGTCAAATCATATATTAAAAGGAGGACACAAATGAATAATTTCTTTCAGCTTTTCCAAATTATTCATCCATTATCTTATTCAGCCTTATTCATCCATGAATCGTCCTATATTCTTCAGTTTGTGCATTTAAAATCAGATGATTGATTAAAATTCTGTAAATTGCTTTTTTAGTTCCATTAGTACACTTACTGCTTTTCCATATATTATTGCCTAATTCATCAATTAATCGTCCTATATTCTTCATTGTTTTTGCATGTAAGTCAGCCGATTGATTAAAAATCTATAAATTACTTTTTTATTTTCATTCGTACTAGGGGAATTATCTATTCATATCATATTACAAATTTGCTATCTTATGCAATGAAAAAAAGCAACAAAACTCCAAAAAAATAGTATAGAAATATTAATAGATAATCAACCTGAAATGGTATCAATTATAAACAATTGAAATTTCTAATCTTTATTAACCAAAGTCTTGCAATCATATATTAATGCAATTATCTTTTTTAGGATGAAGCATACACATTATTTATGGCCAACAACAACTTATACATTTTTCTCCGATTACACGCTATTCTTTGTGAGCGTTTGGCAAAAATTTATGAACGAGCTGTTATCATGGCGACTGAAGAAACAAAATCCCGTTCAAATCGTAAAGAAAGCACAGCAATAGCTCTAAGACTTAAACCTAAACCTCAAATTGAAATTGAAGAATACTATCCAGCTTTCCTTGATATGGTAAAGAATCTCCTTGATGGCAACATGGAAGCTAATGCCTACGAAGATACGTTACGAGAAATGTTCGGAATTCACGCGTATGTTGCCTTCACGTTAGATAAAGTTATATCCAACGCAGTGCGACAGTTACAACATTGTGTTACTGAAAGGACAGCTCTCGCGTGCCAAGAATTGTTTTTGAAGGAGTCTAAAAAGGGTGGAACAGGTGGACCATGTGCCATGGCATATAAGCGGGTGAGTTTCATATACTCATCAATATTTCTTATGTTAGATTGAAATATGTATTGTACTAAGATCACAGACAATTTTATGCTGAGGAAAATAAAACCCGATATTAGTATGTATTTCCTACTTTGGTCAAATGGCTAAGTACATTATATATTACAAGTGGAAGTCTTATACTGTCATGTATATGTTGCTTTTACCAGAATTGTCGAACATTCATTTGTAGTTGTTTATTACCTTCTAAATAACTATTACCTTCTAAAATGCTAAAATGGCATATTTTTAACAATTTTTGTTGTGTCTTATTTATTATATACGGCAATTAAACTTCTTTTATATTATTATACAACTTTTGGAAATTACAATTTTTTTTCCATTGTTCGTGTATATTAAAGATGGCTCCAAAATTTTTCGTCCAAAAATTACTGCTCCATCGCGTAGAGTTAATGTCTGGAATATATATATATATATATATATATATATATATATATATATATATATATATATATATATATATATATATATATATATATATACAAGGTAGTCCAAAGTTTTTTGACTAGTTTGGAAAAAATATATGTAAATACTTTTTTCTTTTTGGGTGTGGTAGTCAATAAAAAATAGAGCTTTGCTAAGGCGTACTATTTATTCTGAATTCCGAGCTTTCGGTGGTTATTTGCCACCTTTATCAAGGTCTACAATGAAAATTACTGTGTTATAACATTAGGCTGATGTAATATAAAAGTTATAAAAACTTACCAGAAAGTAAGATTCATAGCATATAAAACACAACGTTAAATAACATGATGTGATCTGAATTATTGAAGGCATTAAAAATTTTAAAAACTTTAAAATACTTAAAAATTAAAGAACATGTTACAAAGTTTAAAAAGTAAAAAATAAGACGACATGTTTGACAAAAAACAGTCGTCTTCGCAGGTTTGAATTCAGTCACATCTCACGAACAGAAAGAGGTAGTAGGAGGAACTATTGTTGTTTAAATAGTTCGATGTAACTACAAAAAACAAACTTTCAAACTGATGTCTAACAAAATGCCGTTTGTGATTTTAGGTACTACCAACCATGTTACCAACTTAGAATTGAGAGGGAAATTTAAAAAAAGGTTTTATTATTGTCAAAAAATAAAAAGAAAATAGTATTTAGTAAATAGGTTTGGAAAAAACAAACAAACAAAACAAAATGAACATCTGAATAATAACTGAAGTTAATCATGATAATTATAGCAATTAATAATGGAATTTACGAAACATGAAGCACTCTGAGATGCAGAAAACCCTAGTCAAAAGTCAAAATAAAATTGTAAATTTTGCTAAGATTCTGGATCTCAGATCTTTTATTCAGATTGTTGTTATCACTCTTGCTGATATGTACCATTTCTAAGAATGTTCTCTTAAATTTATTTTTCTCTCTGGCTAATATTTTAACAATGTTAAAATATTAGCCAGAGAGAAAAATAAATTTAAGAGAACATTCTTAGAAATGGTACATATCAGCAAGAGTGATAACAACAATCTGAATAAAAGATCTGAGATCCAGAATCTTAGCAAAATTTACAATTTTATTTTGACTTTTGACTAGGGTTTTCTGCATCTCAGAGTGCTTCATGTTTCGTAAATTCCATTATTAATTGCTATAATTATCATGATTAACTTCAGTTATTATTCAGATGTTCATTTTGTTTTGTTTGTTTGTTTTTTCCAAACCTATTTACTAAATACTATTTTCTTTTTATTTTTTGACAATAATAAAACCTTTTTTTAAATTTCCCTCTCAATTCTAAGTTGGTAACATGGTTGGTAGTACCTAAAATCACAACGGCATTTTGTTAGACATCAGTTTGAAAGTTTGTTTTTTGTAGTTACATCGAACTATTTAAACAACAATAGTTCCTCCTACTACCTCTTTCTGTTCGTGAGATGTGACTGAATTCAAACCTGCGAAGACGACTGTTTTTTGTCAAACATGTCGTCTTATTTTTTACTTTTTAAACTTTGTAACATGTTCTTTAATTTTTAAGTATTTTAAAGTTTTTAAAATTTTTAATGCCTTCAATAATTCAGATCACATCATGTTATTTAACGTTGTGTTTTATATGCTATGAATCTTACTTTCTGGTAAGTTTTTATAACTTTTATATTACATCAGCCTAATGTTATAACACAGTAATTTTCATTGTAGACCTTGATAAAGGTGGCAAATAACCACCGAAAGCTCGGAATTCAGAATAAATAGTACGCCTTAGCAAAGCTCTATTTTTTATTGACTACCACACCCAAAAAGAAAAAAGTATTTACATATATATATATATATATATATATATATATATATATATATATATATATATTTATATATATATACATTTTTAAGATGGATACGGTTCGGTTCGGGGTCTCAATCTGCCTACTCCCCTCACAAGAGACGCACCAGTATCGTGTTCTATATAAATACAAGAACTGTCTCTCGGCACTGAGGTCTCAATCTGCCTACTTCTCAGTGTATTTAAGCGCGTATTTAAGCTGTTTGGCCGTTTTTTAATTTCGATGACTTCACGAATAATTCTGGATTAAAAGGGAACGGATGGGAGCGATGGTTTTTGCTTCTTCGAAATCTGTTTTGTGGCCTGTCTAAATATGATGTTGGACTATGGCTGAAGTAGTATCGGAATGTTTGACAGATAGAGAATGTTCGTGAATATGATTATGGATTCGTCGGTTTGTCTGTCCTATGTACGAACGTGGGCCACTGGAACAAGGTATTTCGTAGACACTATGGTCTTCATTGGGGATTTGATCTTTTACGGATCTTACGAGATTTAACAACTTGGAGTGAGTAGTGAAGACGGTTTTGATGTTTAGAGGGGTAAGAGTTCTACTGATCTTGTCAGTGACACCTTTAATAAAAGGTAGAAAGATTTTGGGTTGGTCCGGCGACAAAGTTTCTTTTTTGGATGGAATGAGGTTTAGATGTTTTTGAATGCTTCTAATGATTTGGGTTTTGTGGTAACCGTTTTGTAAGAGTTTTTGCCTTATTGAATTGATTTCGGATGACTTGTGATTGTTGTCGCTAAGTCTTATGGAACGGGAAGTAAGAGTGTTAATAACTGAATTGAGTTAGGCGAGTGGAGTGATGATGTGACTGGGCATTGAGATAACGGTTTGTATGAGTGGGTTTCCGATATACGGAATAGGAAGAACTGTGAGATGGGTTTTTCTGAATAAGAACATCAAGGAATGGCAAAGACGCTTCAGACTCAACTTCCATTGTGAATTGAATGCTGGAATGTATTCCATTCAGGTGGGAGAGGAAGAGATCTAATGTGTCTTTACCATGGGGCCAAATGACAAAGATGTCATCACTGTACCGTAACCAGCAAGTGGGTTTTAGATTTGATGAGGACAGGGCTACTGTTTCGAAATGTTCCATGTAGATACCAGCTATTACGGGAGAGAGTGGGGATCCCATTGCTGCACCTTTAATTTGACGATAGAAATGATTTTGAAATGAAAAATATGTATTTAGATATGCAGTGTTTTATAAGAGATATGTGTCTTGGGGGATATGATGTTTAGAGTCCAAGATGGAAATGAGTTCAAGATGGAAATGGGAATGTTGGTAAATGAAGAAATGTCAAAACTAACTAGTAAATCTGAGGGTGAAAAAGAAATGTTTTTCAGAAGATCAATGAAATGAAAAGAGTTTTTGACAAAGGGCGAGGCGTTTTCAGCTAATGGTTGTAATGATAAAGCGAGATGTTTTGCCAATTTCTGAGTGGGGCAGTTGTATGCCCTGACGATGGGCCTTAAAGGAATTATTGGGCTCATGGATTTTTGAAAGGCCGTATATCTTTGGAATTCGAGATGACTTTTCTCGGGGTATAAGAGATTAGTTTTTAATGTTTGGAGGTGAGTATATATTATATATATATATATATATACAGGGTGTTTCATAAAAAGGTAACCCCGTCTCTAGGGTAGGTAAAACACTGAAAAATAATTGGGGTTTGCTTAGTAAAAAATTTTTGTAACGCCATCCGTTTTCAAGATACAGGGCGTTAAAGAAAAAAAAATTTTACGTATTTTTTACGATTATGCCGAAACTACTGGCAACATTGTAATGAAATTTTATACGAATATGTTTTGGAAGCTGATACATCCCATGAATTTGTTTTTATATCTTATTCTCATAGAGGGCGCTAGTTACACGGATCGTACTAAGTATTAGTCAATATAACTTTTTTAAGAGTATAATTATTAATCAAAATTTCAAGTAAACTTAAACATCATTCAATTTTACACGAAAAAGGTACTCTTGGTAAAACTCGATACTGTGAACCGTTTTCGAAATATTTTGATTTGAAAATTATGAAGTAATAATTGATGCTGGTAGTAATCATAAAGTTCTAGTAGATATACCTATATATATATATATATATATATATATATATATATATATATATATATATTTATATATATACATCCTACTATCATTTTGGCATCGATACATTATGCTTTTACCATCAATTTAGCATCGTCTTGCAAAGTAGCATCTGTATATCGACGCTTCTTTACAAGACCTTAATAACTTTTTTCTGTACTTGTTACAAGAATTTTAACCATCTCAATGATTAGATATTTGATACCGTGTTGGTATTTTTTTTTTAAATATCCGCTTTCTCTTTTTATTCCTTACTGAGTTATATAAGTTTATTCCAGGAAATCTTTGAGTCTAAAATGATGGTACAGTGAAAATATTATATATATTTAGTTCAGGGTTTTACCGTTTACTCGCTGCCATTATATACATGAAAATGTATATCGGGCTTTCATTATCAATCATTTTAGCATCAGAAATTTGGCATCGCTGTTGAATATAATATTACCCACAACGAAATAGTAAATTTAAGAATATATATTTTTTTCATCCACAAATCGTTCTAGCATCTTATTTGATCAAAAGTAACGGGTTATGATATATTGCATATTTTTGCT